AGAAAAGCCTGCATTGGACCCTGGTCCCAACCTCACCCCCTCCACCCCGACATCCACACTCCACCGTCTACCTGCTGCCCTCAGGAATCCAAGAGCCACTCCTTTTATTTTTCAAAAACATCTGAAATCTGACAAAATATTAAGATATGCTTCGGTCAGGGTATATGTTAACATTTCGCCAGATTTCAGGTTTTTAAAAATGATTTGTTTTTAAAAGCATTACAGATACAACGATCCATCTCCATCTAATTTCCCTTCTCTACAGAGGTAATCATAGTCTTAAATCCTGGGTATTAACCTTTTGCTACATATGTATGTATATAACAGTATATATCAGCAATTTCTTTTTTCATCTCGTGGCACACATAAACTAATGACTAAAATTTTGCAGCACACCAAAAAACCGTATTTTGCTGATTTTGATTCATTAGCACCGGACAGCTATTTTTGTGTTGGCTGTCGTCATTTCTTAATTTGACCATCTAAGGGAAAAGAGGTCAGTGCTCTTGACTAAATAGTCAGGTATTGCATGTTTTAAGCATTCTTATAGCACACCCGGTTGAAAATGGCTGGCATATATGAATGCTTTATATATTTTACATCTACACCAGCGCTATCAAGCTATACATTTCCTTTTGCACTTTGTTCACTTGGTTCAGCATTGTGTGTAAGACTTCTCCAGGTTGCTGGAGACACATAGATCTAGTTCATTCCTTTAAACGGCCATGTGATCTGCTCTTAGCGGATCTGCCCCAGTTGATCCTTTCCCCTAGCGAGGGACGTATTGGTTGTGTCCAGTTTTTTACTATTACCAACAACGTTGAAATGAACATGGAGGTCTGTACATGCCCTGATTGGTGTTTTGTTTATTCAAACCTTACCTTTTAGGCTAAACCTGCAAGCACCCAGTCGTCAACGCTTATTAAAGCATTCACTGTGCCCAGAAATGTCACCGGGGGAATCCATTGCTTTTGGTTTCTTTTCTTGGCTCTCTAAAAATACCCTTCCTCCTGGGAGGGCGACACCTGGACACTGAGGTGCCCTTTCCTTTGTCAGCAGGTCTGAGGTGTTGGGCTGGGGGTGGGGGAGTTGGTGAGGGCTCAGCTAGGGGAGTTGAGCGATCATTTCTCTAGAAAGACAGGCTGAGTCGGCAGATCAGGCCTTTCACACTGACTGGGTAGTGAACGAGGCTGAGGCTACAGGTGGAGGTCTGCTGCTCCCCCATTACCAACTCCCCCAATACCAGACCTGTCTCCCCCCCTCTCTGCCCCCCCTCCCCCACCCCCCTCCCCCGTTCCCCAGCTTCCTCAGCTTGTGCAAATGTCAGCTGAGTGGGTGGGGTGCTGGCCTAATCTCTCCATCCATCTCCTCCATGCCAGGCAATACGGTGCCCGCAGTGTTCGCCATCCCAGCTGCCAACAGACCGGGCTTCACCGGCTACTTCATCCCGACGCCCCCCTCGTCCTACAGGAGCCAGGCCTGGATGTCCTATGCAGGAGAGAACGAACTCCCAAGCCAGTGGGCCGATTCGGTGAGACCCTTGCTGATTCCCCACAATGTTACCTGCTTGACACGCTTCAGGGAGAAAAGGGGTGAGAGGTTGAGACGAGTGTGTCGTTATCTCACTCCTCCTCCCACCAGCCAGGTGGCTAAAGTCAGCCATTTTAAAGGAGACGTGGGAAGATGGGTTGTCCTTTGACAGAGGAGCTTGAGACCTGCCAGGTTCTACATCTTCCTGAATCAAAGAAATGTGTATAATGGCTGCCATTTGGGGGATATTTTCCGTGTGCTAGACACCATGAAAGGTATTTTATTTATATGATCTTATTTAATCTTCACAGCCATCCTATCAGGCAGGGGTTATTAGTCCCATGATGCGTCCCATTTTGCGGATGAGGAAAACTGAGGCCTAATCTAAAGCCACACAGCTTTTGTAAGGTGCTGAGGCCAGGATTCAAACCTGCCTCTGTCTGGCTCCAAAGTGTTTTTAAAGATGTTCCTTTTAGCTTTAAAATTCTGTGAAAATTTTTACATGAAATGCCAGAAAATGAAGTAGTAGGAACTCAAGACTGAATTACTTTGCATGTACCTCCTAGAGCTTCCTGCGTGACTTTCAGCCAAGGACTGTCTTGTCATCGTCCACTGGTTTCTTCCGTCATTACAACTAGGAGTTTGTGGCACAGATCGTCACACCCAAACCTGCCTCTGAGCCACCTGTCAAGGGGTGCTAAGTGGAAAACACAAACAAACAAAAAAACCCAAGGGGGAAAAAACCACACATGGATGGCCCTTAGAGTGGGGAGCCCCCTTTGTGTGAGTCCATCCAACATGGATAAGAAAGATTGTCTCAATTTAAATTAAAAAGAAAGAAAGAAAGACTGGCTCTCTGGGCTGGCCCTGAGGGCACCCAGTTCTGTATGCCACTTTAGGGTTTGGTCTCAGCATTCTAGAGTTAGGAAACATGGTGACACCCAAGGCCTGGGTCACTCCTGGGTCCATACTTGCCACCCCTACAGGTTCGACTCAACCTCAGAGTTAGTGTCTGTTCTTATTGTAGCGACGTCTCATCTAAGGGACATCATCAGGGATGAAGTCATTCTACATATATTAATTTTCCTGGTGATCAGAGCTTACCCCTTGAATTTCTAAAATGTTTTAAAATATATGCACTTGCACTTTTAAAATTCTGGAATGAATTTTATCCTTCCGCCGCCTTCTTTAAAAGAGGAGCATAATTGAATTTGTCTTTAGCCAATGATTCAGCATCATTATTATGCCTCTCTATACTAAAATGACATCTGTAAGATGGTCCCTGGTGGCTTGTAGGGTTATTTCCCCCATCAAATACCTCCAAAATACTGTAAATTTTGGATTATAACATTTCTGTTTGCTGGATTCTGCTTATATTAAAAAGGTAGCCACGTAGATTCGTATGTAGACACGGGTATGTTCCCACCAGCGTATCCAGTGAGAATATTCAAATTACCTACTTTCTAACCAATCTGACTCCAGGTTTTGTATCTGTACAGTGGTATGTGGCCTCCGTTTTCTTCCGAATCTCTTCCCTTGCCCTCAGTCCCCTCCTGCCTCTAGTGTCAGGTGCATGCTATGACTTGAGCCCCTTCCTAATCCCAGGCCCCTCCCCTGTCTCCCAACATCCTCTGCAGGTCCCTCTCCCAGGGTACATCGAGGCTTACCCCCGGTCACGTTACCAGCAGAACTCCCCCTCCAGGCTCCCTCGGCAGTACAGCCAGCCGGCCGGCCTGCACCCCAGCTTGGAGCAGGGCCCTGTGCCCTCCACGGCGGCCTCCCAGCAGAGCCTGGCAGAGAACGAGCCTCCCGACACTCCCCTGACCAACATCTCCACGGCGGCCCTGGTGAAGGCCATCCGGGAAGAGGTGGCCAAGCTGGCCAAGAAGCAGACGGACATGTTCGAGTTCCAGGTCTAAGGCCTTAGCCCCGGGGGCTTCCAGACTCTGAGGAAACAGTCTTTGGGCTTCTCAAGCCTAATGCGTGGGGACTTGAGGCATAGTCAGTGGGTGAGACTTCCTCAGCCTTCGTTTCTGAAAAGGTGAACCGTGGGGCTTCTGGGAAACAGAGGAAACTCTTGAACGACTGGATTCTCGGCCTGTTCAACTGATTGTATGTCAAGAAGTCCCAGCTTGGGACCGTATGCTTGCTGTTCTGTTGTATTTAAACTGCCGGTGTATTTCCCTACGGAGCCTTAGCCGGGAGAGACGCTAACTAATCTGCAGATTCCTGTCCAATGCCACACTTCAACAAGTCGCCAGAAGGTGGAGGACACAGCTCTATCTTTGGTGACTCCTGCATGTTAACTGTTTCTGTGTTAAAGGCAATGCAGGCGTGTGATTGCGCACCAGACTGTACTCTCTCTCATTCAGCCATGACTGTACTCGTTAAGATCACCTCCAGTCTGGAAGGGAGGCACTGACTCCAGGCAAGAAACCTGAGTCCTTTTCTTTTAGAGATTCCTATTCAAGGTCAGGTGCATCGGATGAAAACCAGTGCTGTCAATGACTGTACCTCTCCCCCACTCCCCAGTAAGCAGAAGCCAAGAAAGAGAGAAGATGAGAGGGAATGGTTGGTGTGTGTTGACAGGTTTTTGAAAAGGTGTTGTTATCTTGGAACCGGAGTAGCCTGTGACCTGGGATCCAGCTGAAAGAACAGCGGTGCTAAGAGCTTTGAGGGTCCTACAAAAGAAAAGCAGTTACTGGTGGAGCTTTTTCTTTGCCCTGCGATGAAGGTGGCCTGAGAATGAAGCTTCTCTCTCTATTGGGATAAGAGATACATCATTGATTTTATGAGAAACATCTCTGTCTTTTCAACACTGACGTCCAGCCTCGGCTGCCGAGTGACACAAAAGGAGCTAGTAATTGATGCCTGCTAGGAGCAGGAAGCGTGGGTCCAGTCTCCCCAGCCTGCAGCCTCTGTTTATCGAAGCTTCTGAATGTAGAAAATCGGTTGATTTACGTTTAAATGTAAATAACATTTTAAAAAGTGTTTGGAGGTAGCCAGTCCCCCCCTTCCCCCACCCCCTGTGGTTAATGGACACTGGAGGACATTCGCTGAAATGGCCAGGCTGCTGACCTTGTGAGGGTGATGTTGCGAATCACCTGCCCTGCCAGGGTGAGTCGGCCTCCAGAGCTCTGGGTGGGCAGCGCCTCCCAGCCCCGAGTCACCTGCCGCACAGTCAGCGCGAAGCCGAACAGCTGCTGACCTCACTCAGGTGGCCTCGGGGAGAAAGCGCGGGTCCCCTCACCACACTGAGGGCTCACTTGGCGTCTCTTGGAGAACGAGGGCCTGTCCTACCTTCACCCAACACCCATCTCGCTTCAGCTGTCTCCATTCCCCGAGCCCGTCTTTCCGTTCTCCTCACGAGTTTCTTTGGTCTTTACTGAGAGAAGGTGGAAATTTCAAAGTGAGAGAAGAGTAGGAGTGGAACTGATTAGAATGAGAGATTCGACTGTCAAAGCACAGACTTTTCAAAGAAGCGGTTTTTATTTCCCAATGGCCAGTTGCTCTTTCTGGGATGTTCCGGAGAGGACGTGTCACGGAATTCCCAAACAAGCCTCTTGTTCGGATGATGTTAGGTAGTCTTTTGGTATGCTGGTTGTTCTTTCATAGTGTTAGCTTTTTGTTACTTAAAAAAAAAAAAAAATCAGCTATAAATAAAATGTATTTTTGTAATTTCCATGTGTATATATATATGGTATATTTCTACCAATGGCTAATTGTTGTAATCCAAAACCTAAATCAGCTTGGAAAACCCTATGGACAGTGTAAGATTTTATTGACAGATTAACACAACGCCTAAGTCTATCTAATTTGGTATTCAATGCACTTGAATGAACAAAGAGCCAAAGAAACTCAGCCTTTTCATGCAAATGGTATGAGTCTGATAGAGTCAGCTACATTGTCCCGCCTTATCAATAATATTAATATTTTCATCAGTGCAATGACATCAGCCCAGTACTTTGTCTGCTTGGTAAATGCCTGGAAATGTTATATGTGGAAATGAAGTTTTAAGACCTTGGTGTAATTAAAATACATGCACATGCTTCAGAGACAATGTCTGAGCTGTAGATGTGCCAGTAACTTACAGAGAACGAGCCTGCGGCCCCAGCTTGCTGAGAGATTGAGAAACAAATCATTGCAGTCTTTACAGAACCCATGAAATATTGGATTAGTCAACTGAGACAACTAAACATGCAGCATGCTTAATCAGCCCCTCCCTTAAACTAGACACCACCGGTTTTAAGAAAGTACATGGGAGGAAAACCTTAAATGGAAAAGAGGTCCATCTGTCCATGGTTTCCCACCCATGGGCTGACAGCCGCCATTGTTTGACATCCTGTGACCAAGATGGGGTCCCTTCTCTGGAGAGCCTTCTGACCTCATGGATGGGACACATACCTGGAAAGCTGGCTCAGAGAAAAGGCAGATGTTCAGAAGTGCCTCGTGGAAGTTAAAAGAGAGTTCCATGAGAGCCCAGAGGCTCTGTGGTCCTCACGACCCTCCAGACGGTTGGAGAAGCCGCAAGACGGCGGTGACCTTGGAGAAGGAAGCAGCGTCCCAAGAAGTGGAGTGACCTGCCCAGGGCTCCAGCCCAAGCCTGCTGATTCATGACCCAGCTTGCTTCCCATTTCACCACGCTGCCCGCATGCTTGTCTGTGGTTTCTTGAACTATGCTAGGAGGTTTAAAAAGTAGACAAGGGTCATCTGAGACATTCCCTATGTTCCTGTGAAGGAAAACAGATGATGGAATGTGTAAAGAACTTCAGATAAAGTGTAAAGAGGACAATGCCTTTGTAGCATAATAAACATTTTTTTGGAACTCGTTTTGATGTGAGTTTCCTGCAGTCTGAAAAGAAATGCATTTTGGCTTTTCCTAGAGAATGCTGCCAAGGAACTGGTGTTCTCAACTGCTGCTCAAGACTAGGGCTGTATTCCTCTCAATGCCATGGACCCAAACAGGCAGCCAGAGGGGCCATGACAGCTTGTCACTGGGAGGCAGCAGATTCCGTGCTCTGTGTTGGGGAGGCAATCCCGAGGTTTAGGAAAATGTCTAAGCGTCCGTTGTGTGTCCTGGTACCTGTGATCTGAGATGGCAGTGTTACTGGAGCGGGAATTGCCTCTTCCATGGTGTGCTATGGACTTCCATGGTGTGCAATGTTTGTGCCCTCTCCCCACCCAATTCATACGTTGAAATCCTAACCCCCAATGTGATGGTATTAGGAGGCGGGGCCTTGGGAGGTCCTTAGGTCATGAGGGTGAAGCCCACATGAATGGGTTAGTGCCCTTATAAAAGAGATGCCCTCTTTTCTGCCTGTGAGGATAAAATAATCAGTTGGCAGTCTGCAACCCAGCAGAGTCTCTCACAAAACCCTACCATGCTGGCACCCTTGTCTGAACTCCCAGCCTCCAGAACTGTGAGAAGTAAATGTCTGTTGTCTATAAGCCACCCAGTCTATGGTACTTAGTTATGGCAGCCTGAGTGGAGCAAATCAGACTGGATTATGTAAGACTCAATTCTCTGGACCCAAGACAAATTATATGGTGCATTTGTTAATTTAGGAATTCAACAGAAGGACATGTAATTTCTGAGCAATCTTGATGGAAGAACGGATAGAATATTGTTAGATTTGTGATTAAAAAACAACTCCTGAGAGTGCAGATGGAGGGGGAAAGGGATTTAAACACCTGACTAAAGGAAATGCTTCTCTAGCAGGCAGAAATTTGGGAAATGGATCAAAGATTTAAATATTGATTACAGATAAATAAGCTGCTTTTTTTCTCTACACAACACACAGGTATTCAGTGTTTAATAAATAAAATAACAGATATTCTCTTCAAAGGTGAGAACAGAAGTTAAACTTAATCCATTCCTTCAACCACACACCAGAAAGTAGTTTGGACTTTCCTTGAGTCAGGTATCTATCCAACCAGCTACAACAAGGAGGCAAGGTCATGTAATACGAGCATGGTTCCCTGGGCCAGCCCTCTCAATGAGGGCTTTTGTTGGGGGCTAGTACCCAAAGGAGGGAGCATGAGTGGACAGGACCTTCAAAAGGAACCTGCTACCGACTGGAATTGACCAGAGGTCCTAGGATGCCAGCCAGCAGGTGAACGGTCACTACAGATATTGCCACAGAGAGGGGAAGGCATCCTTGACGTGCATATCAGTGAAAATGTATGAGCTTGAAACTTTGGCGGACTGGCTGGACCCGCCCCAACCACTCCCCACTCATCACCAGCGCTATTGATACTGCTCCTGGGCCTCAGACGTGATTTCTGACCAAGGCCCAGTGCGCACACTGTCTTGCTCAGCAGACAACAAATACTTGTAAATCAAAATGCATCATCTCAGCTCAGGTGCAATGAACGTGGCTCACGGCTGCACACTTACAGGAATGAGAAAACTGTGAGCCTCTCGGCAGTGTCTTTTGAAACAAAATCGGCTTCAAGGGAGATGGATATTCTTGTGGCTCTGCCCTTCTAAATGTAATAAATGAGTGTTCCCAAGAATTGATAGGTCTCTTGATTTCTTAAGGTGAACAGTTACAGAATCCTAGCCTGTGTTAAGTGCTAACATTTTGGAAAGGAATATTTACAAAATAGAACGAATAGTGCTGGAAGCAAATTCTTTTAGAGGATATTAAGTTGCTTTGATTATGCAGGTTTCAAAAAAAGGGGGGGAAATTCGGAAATGGCAGAATTTGTCTCCATAGGTCAAACCCACACTTCAGTGAAAGCCATTATATAATGAAATCTAGAAATTAATTATTTTCGTTCTCTGAGCTTGACCAAACCATGGCCTCACTTTATGTTCCCTCATCTGTGCCTGATGTCTAAATGCCATGACCTTCGCAGCGGGTTCAGGATCTGAAGGAGGGGCCGATGCACAAATGAAAATGCTATACAAGAAATATGAATTTAGAAGGCATTAGAGGCCACGGGGAGCCTCTTTCTTGAAGAGACACACCAACTTCTAGCCTGGTCTGGTATTTATTTACTTGAATACACATTTGCCCTTTAGCAATGCATACAGGCATATCAAAGGTAACGTTTGATAAACAGTAAAAGGATTATCAGGTTAGGGAATTGCCTTGAGCCATTGAACCCACAGCAGGGCAAGATTATGTTGATTTTCAGCCCTGCTGGATATCAAAGTCCAATGATTCTTTCTGCATTAATATGCTAACTGCTGTTGGCTTTAGCCTCCGCATCTAAACTCACCCTCAACCCACACACAAAATGAGAGAAGGTTTATAGCAAACAGTAGAGGAGTATCATTGTCTGGGGATTTTGAAAGAGGTGTAATAAATGGTCAAGGCCTAGGTCAACTCACTATAAACCAGCCTCTGTTTCCTTACCTGTGAAATGGGTATAACAGCATCAGCACTTCCTACCTCCCGTGGTGTTTGTGAGGAACGCGTGGCCTAATATATGTGAAAATGCTTTGAAAAGTGTATTCTTACTAAAGCATTAGCTTCCTAATTTAGTTTTATCAAGCAAAATATGTGAGCACCTTCTATTCACAGAACTAATTTGTCACATGTTCTATAAAATTTTTATATTCTATAACATTAAAAAAAACCACAAAGACTTTTTCCTAAGTGTGGAAGTGCCCACCAAAGCCAGCCTCCCCTGGAGCTGTATTTTGCTGCTCGTATTGTTGTCAATGATTTGAAGGGTATGTAACCCAGACCGAGATTCCTTACCAACCCCCCAAGACACATGGTGCAAACACAGGCACTGAACAGGCGCTCTGGCGGTAGTTGTTGTCATTTAAGGCTTTGCTTTCTAATTAATTTTGTACATCCTTGGCCACTGCCGGGAACAGAGTGTTTTTATGCTGTCAGAATTTTTTATTGTGAAATAAAATGGCAAAGGCTTTCCTACCCCAAAACCCGCCTGCTTCTCATTCTGCCTCCGCCAGATGGTGAGATGGAACCCCCTTCACAACCCAGCAGGGTCTGCTGGGTGTTAGGTTAGGTGGCTCAGGAGGTGGCGCAAGAAATAGAGTCCAGTGAATCAGAAAAGAAAGGAAAGGAAAAGGTTTATTCTGCGTCCCCGGGAGACCCACGTACCCCCAGGACAGGGCACGTGGATTCACGCCAACAGGGAGAGGGGCGCTTTTTTTATACTGCGGTTGGGTGAGGGGCGGGGACATGAGCTGAGGGATTCTCTGCTGCAGGGGATGGGCGGGGGTATGTGGATTAAGGGAGAAGAAGCCTGTATCTGTGTCTGGCACCTTGATCTGTGAGAAATTCCAGGGGAAGTCCATTATCTTGTCATGTCTGCATGTATCTGATCCTGGGCTCTCTCCGGCCTAACACTGGGTGCTGGTAAAGTACACTTGCAGGCGTGGCAGACCCTGTGTGGTCTCAGAGGCTGGCCCAGCCTGGGGCATGAGCCGATGGGCCATCCACAGGTCCCAGAGAAGCAGCCTATCCATGGCTGTGTGCATGGGGCCAAAAAGCCAATGCCGGCTCACATGCCTTACTCAGAACAGAAAGAAGTCCCATCCAAGTTAGTGGCTCCCAGAGATGGCGTGGTATGGACACAAACTCCCCAGACCACCTGCCCCTCCCACTCTGTGCTGCTCCCCAGCATTCACAATGCCTGCCCGATGTTCAGCCCATTCCAGACACCATGTGTTATGCTCCATGCTCAGCCTCTGGCCTAAGCTGCATGGACAAGAGAGACACCGACCCAAGAGCTACACACATCCATAGGCTGAGCAGCCACAAAAACCACGGCTCCGCGTGTGGGAGGTCAACTGGATTCTCTGTAGGAAATACCAAGAAACAGTCTCTTAGCAGCAGAGACTCTGAATGGTCAGGACTCGCAAGAGGCCATGATGGGCTGTATTCAAAGCTAAAATCTAGGAAAGCAGAATATTGAGTAAGAAGTAGCCTTGAGGCCAAGGAGATTTTGAGTACAGGAAAGAGGGCCTGTAACCAAAATCTATAATAATAATAAAAGCATCATATGCTAATTAGACCGGGCGACCTTCCGGATAAAGCCTGGGCTGCGAGGGAAGCCCAAGTCCTGGGTGCCTGCCAGCGGCCAGAGGGAAGCCCAGGTCCCAGGTGCCAGAGGGAAGCCGGTGCTGGCAGCTGGGGGGAAGGAAGACCTACTCTTGCATGAATTTCGTGCATCGGGCCTCTACTAGACAAATAAAAACCAACTCGGTGTTCTCAGGAGGCCCTGTGCCTGACGGAGAGCCACCCGTGGGGCTTTTGTGGCGCCATTGAGACGTGGGCAGCTCAGGCAGCAGTGCAGGGTCTCCCTCACGGGAGTTTAATCTACTGAAGCGCTCTCTGCAAGCACTTACGGAATCACCGAGAGACTGAAAGAGCTATTTTGTCCACCTCTGTCCCTCTGTAAAGAGGGCTCAAATATGTGCAAAAAAAACACCCCTAAAAGCCAGTCTCATTGCAGAGATGAGAAATAAACTTGGAGTTCCCACAGAAAGCTTTGGTGGGATATCATTGCAGAGAACCGGCAGGGGGCCCAGGAACGAAGGGTTTTCTGCTCCACTCTTTATTTTTCTTTCCTCCTGGACCCTGGCTGCTCTTATTTTTCAGGACAAATGAAATGATCAAGTGAAAGGAAGGGCTGGTGCCTATTTCAGTCCCAGGAGTGGCAGGCAGACACAGACC